ATCATGCCTTGATTAGGGTGACCAAACGTCCGTATTTCCCGGGACATATCCGTATTTCACGTCCTGTCCCGGGCGTCCCGGGTTTTTTTTAGAAAGTGAGGAAATGTCCTGATTTCACTGCACAACGCTCCGTGTGACGTAATCCCTGAGCCGCGTCAGTGCAGGCAGCCCTGCTCTTAATCAGAGGCTCTGTTCAAAATCCTGGGCTGCATCCTCCAAGGACGGGTCTACCTAGACTGGATCCTTCGAAGTCCTTGAAAATAAGGAGGCCGGAAGAGTTCTGTCTGTAAATTTGAACAGGTCCTCCCTTCGGCGGGTTTTACCGCCGTATGCTCTGTTGCTTAGCAACCGTGAAAGTTGACACACAAAGCAGGAAAAGAATGAATACCGAGGTTTTCAAAACACTGTTACTGTTGTATTTATTTATTTTTTAAGAAGTTAAAGTGAACAAAGACTACACTCACAAGAATCCAGAGTGGAATAAAGGTTCCAACCACCGGGAGCAGGAACAAATCAAATCAAATGTAATGATAGAAATTTTAGTCATTTAAATAACCTGCTGCTGTCATTCTGCACATCTCTGATGTTGCTGCTATTTTCAAATATCCATTATTGTAAAAATGTCCATAGCTGCATATTGGTTATTTATTCTGTTAAAACACTTTACAGAATTGTATTTCTTATATTTTAACTCTTCCCTATTATGTTATTCTTATACATTTCTCTAAGGTCTTCATTTGTGTGACCATTTTCAATAATCTTTCTGCTGCTGTAAATCTGCCCATTGTGTGACAATAAAGGGATTTTCTATTCTATTCTATAAAAGGGTTAGAAATATATAAGTAAATCTAAACAATGTATCTGCAAAATCTCTAATATTCAACAACAAAAAATACTTAGTTAAGCATATTGTGCAAAACAACAATAAAAAATTAAAAATCCTATCAGATTTATAGTTCCCACTCTGCAGATCTATTAGAATCTGTCCTTAAATTACAGCCAAACTCATTTACAAAGTAACAGATTAAAACCTTTAGATAAACCAAACATTACCGCCACATATCTGACTCAATAACCATTAAAACAACTATTTTCATTAATTTCAGACGGAACTATTCACAGAGATGTATTATTATATTAAACTGAATCCCGATGATGAGACATTTGTTCTTTCAATATCCCCCCCCCCCCCCCCCCGCTCCAAGTTGTCCTCGTTTTCCCAAATGAAAATATGGTCACCCCATCCAACAACGTCATGTTACGCCACAGACTGTCCAGGAGTCGGCTGATGCTTTAGTCCAGGTCTGTGAAGAGATTTCTCAACAGACCATCTACCACCTCATCAGCATATTCCCAGTTGTTGTAGGGAGTTCATACGGACACGTGGAGGCCAAACACACTACTGAGGACATTACATTAAAAGTTTGATCATCCTCTGGTGTGATTTTCCACTTGAATATTATGTGCGATTCCAAATTCAGGCTTTCAGGTTAGTGAATTGGATTTCCATTGAAGATTTTTTGTATGAGTTTATTGTCAACACATTCAGCCTTGTACAGAACAAATGGTTTTTATAAGAATATTTCATTAATTCAGATCTAGGATGTGTTGAATGTTCCTTTTTGTGCTTATTACAATTCTGTAAAAATAAGGTTTAAATACTTAGACATTCTGACTACCTTTGCTTTTTGTAATACTCTAGTGGCAACTTTAATAAGGTGATGGAACTAACTAGACATATTTTACTAACAGATCTGAGTCCCTGTTAGTCATTAGCTTTGACCTTAACGGCCATGAACTGCTCCTCTTTACTCAAATGAGCCCTTATCGGTTTTAACATTTAAATGTCCAGTTTCAGAAAACTGTTTAACGTCACTGCAACCTAAACCTCTGGTATCCAGACAGCTGGTATTTGCATCAGAGCTCTTGACTTAAAAGCATAGAGTTTTAACCAAACCTTAATCATGCTTAATTATACCTCATCCTCCTAATAATATAAAATGTAAAGGCAAATAGGAGGGTGGATTAGGGGAAAATTATTAAAATCAGGTTAAAATACTATTTAACACTACACCGGAACTAAATGTATGTGGTGTTTTCTGTCAGTGCAGATTTTGAAGTAGTACCTTTCACAGGAAGTGGAACTGTCACTCTGCTTGTGTCCTTGTTAGCTAGCCAGCTAGTGAGTTGCAATAACAGGAGCAAATGTGTCCTGTTTGGAAAGATGAATTAAACTGTACCAGGAGATAAAATCTGACAGAGAGCTTTGTTCACCTGCTGTTATCGGCGCCATGTTGCGTGTCGGGAGCTCAGCTGCCTGGTAAGTCCAGTTTAACTGAAGGTAACGAGAGTACAAGCTAGCAGCGGGGATGGCAGTATAGCTAACTGCTTCGATACTGGCTGATGGATTTTATCCTTGTATAAATTAAAACAATTCTAGATATGTTTTGAACGCTATTCCCCTCAAGTTGTCCTAAATTTGTCCGGTTTTTTACTGTAAGCAGCTAACCCGAGTGGTTGGTGATTGTATTTCTAATTAATCTGGTCCAAATTATCTAATGTTGCTCTAAACCAAATTGACTAATTTTCAAACACCCCAGTATAACATGAGTCTACACGTTGTTATTCTTCCTCTAGCTAAGTTTTTGGCATTTTGTAATGTAGAACAGCGTTCAACATTTATTAACCATGGTTTTTTTATATTTATGTTGTGAGAATCTTTTATTGAGGGCCTTCAAAATGAACCTTTTTTTATGGTATTTGGGGTCTTTATTTTAGGATATAATATTATTCCTCTAAGCAGATATGCAACTAAGATCACAGGTATGGGATATAAAATCTAGAAGGTTAGTTCTCTAATAAAATGCTATATAAAAAAAACAATAGTCTCTTTTTAGCCAAAAGTTGACATTTACTAATGTGGATTATTTTATGTATACCATTAGGAGGAGGTATCTGAGAGAAATTTGGTGTTGATTTTTATTTTTTGACATAAGTAAACTATAAATTTAAGAGGCATTTGCTCTAGTACTTTTACAAAAATAAAATTTTGGCTTTATGCTGACCATTTAGAATGGTGTGAAATCAATTGTCATTTGGAATACAGGGAGATTAGTGAGAACCCCTTGTCTTCAGTTAAATCAATAATGGTATTGTTTGTCCAAAATGTTCACATTAACCCTATTTATTCTTTTTTTCAACAATTTGTGGACAGAAAAAAAAAATATTTTAATTAATTTTGGGTAGTGTACATTGCACTACCATTTGTAGATGTTGAAAATACAGCCCACAATAAAAGCTTGGAAAAGTGGTTTTCTAGAGATCAGCCAGTGGAATGATCCGCGTTGGACGGAGCGCAAACACCTGACTTTGAGATAAATTCCAAGAATATATGCGGTACAAAAAACTGCTGTCAATGCGAAGTAACTATAAAAATAAGTATGCTTTGATTAAAACTATATAAAAAATTACTTGCAGAGAGAAAATGCCAACGCTAAACCATATAAATGATGACCAGATATTATGGCCTTAAAGGAATAGTACACCCAAAACATGATTACCCTTCATTTTCTACTCACCCCCATGCTGAACAACACTCTGGAGTACTTTTTTGATATCTCAAATGCATCTGGAGATCTGGGAGGCTTCTTGCTGTCTGCTGACATTCAAATAATGGAGGTGCCCAGCGCCCGAGGCAGAAAGGTCCATAAAAGTCCACAAAAAACATTTCAATATTCCTCCATACTGCTCGTCCAATGTATTCCAAGTGTCCTGAGTGGGTAGCATCCAGAATTTACTCGAAACGAAGTCATTTAGAATGTTTTTAGAGCATAAACAGTAGTGTATAGGATTTCCTGAAAGCGCGCACATGCGCGATCACGACGCTACGGAAGCCGGCAGACCAAACCAGCGCATTCAGCTCGGCAAAGAACTCGTGCTCTTCCTCAACACTGAAGTCCTCAGACATTTTTCTTTCGTTGTTTCTTTCTTTGCACAGGTAAACGGCACATTTCTTCTTCTACGCTTGCATTATTGGAAGAGCAGACGCTGAATGCGCACTTTCATCTGGTTTGGTCTGCCGGCTTCTGTAGCGTCGTGATCGCGCATGTGCGCGCTTTCAGGAAATCCTATACACTACTGTTTATGCTCTAAAAACATTCTAAATGACTTCGTTTCGAGTAAATTCTGGATGCTACCCACTCAGGACACTTGGAATACATTGGACGAGCAGTATGGAGGAATATTGACACGTTTTTTGTGGACTTTTATGGACCTTTCTGCCTCGGGCGCTGGGCACCTCCATTATTTGAATGTCAGCAAACAGCAAGAAGCCTCCCAGATCTCCAGATGCATTTGAGATATCAAAAAAGTACTCCAGAGTGTTGTTCAGCATGGGGGTGAGTAGAAAATGAAGGCTAATCATGTTTTGGGTGTACTATTCCTTTAAGGATTTTATAGAAGGCACTGCAGTATTTACATTAAAAAACCTGCACTACATTGGTTAATTTTACTTTCCAGTGTTTTTTGTTTCTCTGAGTTTCTCATCTTTTCTCATTTTAGTGAGTATCACTTTCGTTATAACTTATATATCTCTGTACTTTACTGAAATAGAGGGTCATTTTAAAATAGCAAATACATATTATAAAAATGGCAAAGCTTTAAAGTCGCGTTTTATTTTAAAATCTTGTATGTCTTCTTCTCACTTCGGTCAGAACATGACCAGAGGAAACAACCTTGCAGCATGCCGCTCTTGATAGTAGCAGGCCTATAAGTTGCGGCACCTTACAGTTTATCCTATTGTTCTAATTATTATCTACTTGGCTGATAAGTTTCTTTGTAATGCAAACTTATGAAAATATAGAGCACAACTTATTCAGTGTGGTTGTGAATACACCACTCTTCTATATTTCATTAAGGAACTTAATCAGATGTAATTAACATTTTATAATTAATGCCAACAAACAGTGCTTAAATGTAGTATCGTCTTTTATTTCAGTGTGGCATGTAGGAACCTCGTCTCAACTAACATGGGGGTGAGGTTCCGGGTCCCGCTGCAGAAGCTTCATCCTCTGTCTCGTGCCATCTACCACCGTTACTCTGGAAACAATAACCCCCACCGGACTCCTCATCGCACAGCAGCTCGATATTTTACCTCCATGTCTCGGTTGCCGATGCGGCCGCTGAAACCCCCTCCCAGGTCTGGAGGTCATAGGTACCAACAGCAACGCAACTTTTGGGTGGCCAGTCTGGCAGCCCGGCTGCTGAGGCTCAGATACATCCTGCTGGGAACAGCAGTGGGAGGGGGCTACACAGCTAAGAAGGTCAGAGGGAGCTGTTATCATTCAGATCATTGTCAACTTTTTTTGCTTCAGTGGTTTTTATGTAGCTTAATGTAGATGGAACAGTAGACTGATGCCTATTGGCAAACACTTCAGGAATAAAATATATATTTTTCTATCTTTAGACCTATGAAGAGTGGAAGGAGATGCTTCCTGATTTTAGTGAATACAACTGGGTCATTCCAGATTTTGTCTGGGAACTGAGTGAACAAATTGATCTTGGTAAGTTTTCTTAATTCTCATCAATCCATGGCAATGAAAATAACTCTTAGTTTTACGTTGTTGTCCTTCAGTCCACCACCAGATTTGAATGCCTTTTAAAGTGTTTGCATTTTGTAATAATTCAACCACAAATTTCAATGATTTTTGTTTGGTTTTATGTGCTTGACAATCAGGTGTGCATTATTATGAAATGGGAATGGAAAGCCCTGTCATTTTATTTCATTTATCTAGGGATATCTCTGATTCCCGATAGAAAAGATTTTACAATGATTGAATGTATTGATCTGCAACTATTAGGCCTGTTTCATCCCAGCCTGCTGACTATTTAACATTAAACAGAATTTATTGTCTGGTTTAACGACGTTTTAATTGGTTCCTCTCAATCATTCATTTATACACAAAGCTGTTGGTGTTTATGGACTGTCCCTCTGCACAAGTTTTAGAAAATATTGTTTTTCTTGATGTGCTTTGTTGTACCAGAAAGATCTGAAGTTCAGCCATGGTAGTGCAGCGCAGAAATATGAAGTTTAATGTCACTCTGTTGTCTCTCTTGTCCACAGATAAACTGGCCAAGGCACTACCAGAAATGGAGGACATGGCCAAACTTCTGCCTGACTTTGAGAAGATTGGAGAAAATTTTACTTTCCTTAAAAGTCTTCTTTCTTCCGGTGAGTAAAACATCTTATGGACTAAGGATTACAATAGCTGTATTAGAGGAAAGTTAGCCTCTATATCTTAGACTATAATAAATTTTTTAACAGTTTATTTAATCATCTGGCTCTAGGTGCTTTTAAAGGAAAAAGATTATCTATGTTTTATTATAAAAATGTAGCATGCTCTTAATCAAATCCTTTTCTGAATTTTTCCTTATATGGGTTCATGTTTTTGTTCTGCTTTAGATTTTTCTAAACTGACTTAGTTTACTAATGGTTCTTCAACTGTGAAATGTTTTTCTTGCAAAACACTGTTTTTGCAGTAAAGCAACATTTTCTTTTATCATTAAACTCAAATTTTCTCATCTAAAAGGCTTTTGCTCAAATTCACTGATTCAGATGAACTGATTAAACTTTTACTTAATAAAATAGCTATAGAGGAACAAAGTATTTTTTTGCTGATTGTTATTATAGACACATTTTCTTCAAATTTTTTTTTAATCCCTTTCCCTGCCTGGGCAGTCAAATGGTTGACCATTTGCTCAGCAAAATGCAGGTTGGAGGTTGAAAAGGCAGTTATAGGGCTCATACCACAACATAATGTCCTACAGACTCTTTGGAAGAGAAAATGTTAAAATTTATGTATTAATCTGTTGGCTGATGTTTTAACATCATATAAAAATGTGTATTTTACCAGCTAAACACTGATCATAAAAAAAAAAAGACTGATTGCACAGTACTCCTACTTCAAGTCCGGATCACTATTAAAATTTTTTTGTAGTTGAGAGAAGATTAGAAATCAGAGAAAATTGTAATTTCTCCTAAATCAGTCATACTAACAATTTATGACCAAATTTTTCTTACGAGCTGTTCTTGCATGAGGCCCAATGTCACATTCATTAGTGCATCTTTAAAAAAACACAAAAAACATAAATGTTTGTGACTTTAGTGAGCAATGAAGTAACTTTGGAGACTTCAGTTGTAGTAAAATGTGTGTTTTTTTTGGCATCAGATCGAGATCAGTATTAAACTCTATCAGTTTCTGGTTAACTGACTTTTTCAACTAATTTTCAACTACGTTCATATACAGCTTTTTAATTCCTCATCATTTTTGTGCTGAGTTCCTGGTTTGACCACTGTCCCTCTTCATGATTTTCATCTTCTCCTCCCCTGCCCTCCTGTCCTCCTACACATTCTTCACAGGTGTGAGTTTGGGTAGTGAAGTCAAAGGAGCGTCTGGTCTGCATCTTTTGTTAGGTGTGTAAACTCTGTGTTCTAGTAGAACCACCCGCCCCCCCTCTACTCTCTCTGTCGCTCAAACACTACTTTGTGGTAGGACTGCCTTAACATTTGGATGTAGCGGTGAGCGACGTTCACTACCAGTTTGAAAATAACTGGATTAATTAGCCTGTAGTGTTTTTTTTTTCCTTTTCTGTCTCTTTCTCTGGCTGCTCTTGGTCAAGCCTTTTTTGGTGTTTGCCTCCTTTGACTTCCACCCTTCCTCTCACCTGGCCTATGTGGGTTTTTTTTTGTTATGACATGCTTGTTTCTAACCTGTCCAGCAATCTTCCTCTATCTTAGGTTACTGACATTCAGGTGTTAAAAATAACCACAGAATGTTATTTCATTTGTGTTTGATCTGATTTGAAATTCCTCTGTGGATCTGTGAGCCTGTGCAGATGGACCACACCTCAGCCTTGAGTAACACACTAACAAAGGCTCATTTTAGTAACTCTTAGTTGCCTGTACAGCTATCAGTGTTCTGCATCTGGAGTAGTTTCCAGTAATTATGCTTTTTGTGTTTTATAAAACATAATTTATAATGATTAACAAAGGAACAACTTTAAAGATTTTTCAATTGTTTCCATCATTCATACAAAAAATATCTGCATGGTTCCGGCTGTTGATTTGTCGATGTCTGACTTTAAAAAGAATATTAAGCAAAAGTCCAATAATCTTTCTCTAAACATACAACCAAAGTGTATCCATCTGCAGGCTTTCTGTGTCTTCATCATTCTAACAGAGAGATGAAGAAAGTTTGTTTCAGATTTTCATCTCCACGTGTTTCTGTAACAGATTTATAGCCGATTTCTCTCTGATCTAAAATTAGCCACATTTAGACAATTATATTCGAAGCTAGCTAGCGGCTAGCATTATTGCAGTAGAAACAGTGACACCACCATGTTAAAGATGTATAAGATGTTTGAATGACAAACTACCAAAGGCTCATTGTGGTGCTTCACCGTTAAGCTAGCAGTAACTACTGTGGAAGCTGTGGAGAGTCATTATTGTCACGACGTCCACAATCCTGCACAATGTCCACAATCCTGCACGAGTTGAAATTTCCCGTCAGGTGATGATTTACAGAATCATACATAAAGCTGTGGTTTTTTTATTTATTAGTGCCAATAATTCATAAGCTGAGAGATTTTCTTACAGCTACAGCTTCAAAGATGGCAAAGCAACATGGCGTCTTCCTTGATTGCACCACCAACTATGTATTTCTACTTTTTTTTTTATACATTTAAAATATTCTATATTTATAGATATTTTGAGAATGTTTTTTATAGTTTATGCCATTGTTATAAGACTTCATCACAATATGCATTTATCAAAACATTTGATTTTTGATAATAAATATCCAAATTAGTTGAAGCCTTTAACCTTTCGAGTTCCTCTGAATTTAGTTTTACAGCCGTATTTCTATAGATTATTCATTCATTTGATTAATTCAGCTTAAAATCTTAACCGCACATCTTGGAGGCTTTTCTTGCAGTAAGCTCACTAAATATTATTATTGTTGACATGTACTATGATGCATTCAGTTAAAAGAAAAAGATGCGTTTAGTCGATGACCGCTGTCATCAAAGCAGCTCTTTTTTTATGTGGCTTTAATAAGCTTTGATTTGCAACCAAAAGATTAAACATTTTATGTGTTATATACATTCTTACCTACAACCTTAAAACTTTAAAATGTTTTTCGAATATTTGAATTTAGCCCGGCTTTATTTCTTTTGTTTTGGTTTAATCAAAGGTGCTCCTGCTGAAGCCTATTTAACAGTCAACATTAATATGTTCCTTTTCTTCCTTACCTTTTATTTCGCCGCCTTTTGCTCTGTTAGAAACTTCTGGTGATCCTGCTCTGAAAGCTACAGATGCCTCAGCAGGAGCTGCACACGACGCCGGTGACAAGCAGTACAAAAAGGCAAGTGGATGAAAACTGTTTCACACTCCTCTGCTTTCCTTCTCTGTTTATACGCCGCTGCTCTCTCTCTTTTAAAGGGCCTATATCATCATTTTCGCATCCCTTTATCCCCATTTCCTTATTTTAGCTTTTTTTTTTTTATCAGAACAAAACACTTTAAAAATAGTCCCCTCTTCCCCTCAAGAGAGACAAGGACATAGCAGAGCTAAATTAAGGATAAGCAAAGACGGTTTAGCCAAAGTTAGCTGCTTTACAAATACTTTAAATGATGTGAAGACTTATTAGTTATTGTTGCAACTTAAAGCTGGTCTGCTTCTCTTTCTGGCTTCCATGTTTGCAGCTTGCTGCTCCTTTACCTACATAGAATACTAAATGCTGCGCTATGTTTTGGCAACTTTAGGAACTCTCATATGATTGGTTTAGAAACCAGAAGGTAAACAATCTGGGTTTGAAAGTAGGAAAACTTGACCAAGATGTTCATGATTGTTTATAGAAAATAGTGCTAAAGGAGAATAATTTTGCAGTAAATATCTTATTTCTTGCACCATCAAGTCAAACAGGTAACAAATAGGTAAGGTGATCACAAGACAGCTGATAACCAGAGAGAAACGTTAAAGGGTTTATATTTCTAACTCCCAGCTTAAGCATCGAATGATGGCTAACAATATAACAGCAGCCTTAGAAAGGTCTGCAGCTTCAATTTCTGGCAATAAAGGGAAGATTTGCTCCCTGTTTCAGCTGTTTAACTACAAAGAGAAAAAAGTGAGCATCTGACTGGTTGGGGCGTCTCCTGTGGTCCTGATCTGCTTTGTTGCTCCGTTTCTCTCAGACATTAGCCCTCCAGTTTATCCAAACACATGATGATCTGATAATAGATTTAATAAATTTGTGCGCTACGTTGTTTCCCTTGGTGTTGCCAATAAGTGGCTTCCAATCAATCATTTTCCATCAAGAAGATTATTTGGTTTTCCTGTCTGTCAAAGCCAGTATTATCTTGTGTGAATCAAAAGGTCCTGGTTGCATAAAGTTTGTTTTAAATTTACCTCCCTGCTTTGAAAAATAAATATGATATATTTTGTTTCAGCTCTAAACTATGGTGATATAGTCCCTTTAACTTATGTTTGCCTTGTTGCCTTTTCACACTGAAGTTAAATCTTAATGTCCTGACTTAAAATGAAAGGGCTTTAAATGGCAGGTGATATTTGATGTTGCTATTGATAACATTTGACTTTTTTATTTAATGTTTCCTTAAATTTTGACATCCTGCTCTTGTCTACTTTGGATTGTACAACAGATTATTTACTGAAAAACACTCACAGCTTTCTTTATTAGCGCTTTTAAGCTTCGGTTGGGATTTAGTTTTTTTTTTTTCAAAAAACTTCTTTCTTACTTTTGCTGTTTGTAACCTTAAAGCCATAATTTGTTTATGTAGAAATATTTTTATGGGTGTATGTTCAGTCCTTCTGTCGTCCCACCCTCCCTTGTTTTGTTTTAGTGTCATCATCCATATTTTGTTTTAAATTACACCATTGTTTTTAGTTCCTAACTATTTCAACAAATGAAAACAACCTGAAAATGTAGGATTCAAAATAAGGAAGAGATGCAGTCTTTAACATGAGCACAACTTTGGTTACTAGAAATGTAAAACCTAGAGCTCTAAAATGAGACAGTTGCTGTTTCCTGTTTGGAAATGTTTGAAATAAGATGCTGCTTTGTCCTCCGTCTGATTAGATTTCAATGCTTGCTTTGCTTTTTTTCCCTCTACTTGAGGCTTCACCAGGCCAGCTAGCTTAAAGACGTCCCAGCATTGGATTTATTAGAAGACGCAGAGTTTAAATGCAGTCATTAAAGTGCAAAATATGACAGCATCACTGTTTCTGCCGCTTGCTGGGAGGCACTGATTGTGGTATTAGTTGCCTCTTCTGCCATCAGTGGGCAAAGTTTGTTTATAACTGAGCAGACTTTGTATTCTTCACTGATGATGGTGGCAAGAGTCTGAAGGATCTTGATCCTTTCAAACCTTAAATGACTGATTTCTGATTCTTCCACCTGAACAACACCAATGCCAGCTGCCCCAGCCGGGTCTCTGCATTGAGTAGCAGCGTTGGTCCACATGGTGTGGATCACCCTGCTGTTGTTGGGTTTTTGTCATCATTTTCCTCCTCCTTCCTCTCTCTCACGTCTCTCTGACGTACCCCAGGGTCTGCTCGGAGAGCTCATACTCATTCAGCAGCAGATCCAGCAGCACGAGGAGGAGGTCCAGCGGGCCGCTGCAGCCAATAGCACGCGTTCACCACCCCAAGGTCCTTCTCCGAACCCCAACCCCTCGACTCAGACACGCAAGGTGAAGGTCCCACCCCACTTAGACCCGCCCCATCCAAATAACAGCCCCCAAACACCTGCAGCTTAAGGACAACAGAGGGATTCTGAGAACTAGGAGAGTTTGATTATGAAAGCGAAGGCAGACGAATTATAACCCTAGCCAATCGTAAAGGTTTTAATTGGTAAAACACATTTCCATCCCTAAAATAAGACATTCTTTGGTTTAAATCCTGGTCAGTTGACTTTTTGTTTCATAGTTCATCAAAAGATAAACTACCTATTCAGTATCTGACATCAGCACTTTGCTATGAGGCCATTTTGACATGGCTGCGTCTGCGGGTCATTTTTTTTCTTTTTTTTTGTTGTTGCGGGGGTAACATGTTAACAGAAACCTGCAGTGCCTTGTCAAGTGATTCACACCCCTGATTTTTTTTTCTCTCTTTCAGAGATCATTCTGCCCTCTTTGTTAGAAATGTAGAAAACAACTTTAGCTGTTAGCATGGTAATGGAAGGCTCATGCTAGGGGGATGCTTTCGCTTCAGAAGAGATACAGTGAGATTGTTGGAGCTAAAAAAAAAAACATCTTGGGTGGAGGTTCTCCTTCCATTAGAACTGCAGTAAAGATCCAGCCAGAGGTATAATAGGACAGATTATTAGATTATATCCCATTTAAAATCTCATGACAAAACCTGCTGTTGTTCATTCACTTTTTAATAATTCAATCTCTCTTTCTTTGAGCTCTTTTGCAAAGATTGAGGAGTAGAAACGCTTCTGTAGATGTCTAAAGGTTTGCCAAAACTTGCAGCAGTGATCGCAGAGAAAAGTGATTCTTTAAAGTAGAGACTAAGCTTGAAAACAAAAGCATGAAAAGAAATTGTAACAAAAATCTTCAGTTCTTGTTTTGTTTTCCTTCAGCTTATAACTAATTTGCACTGGTTTCTGTTGGTTATAACAAAATATAGTGAGTTCAAGGGGTGTAAATAATTTTTCAAGGCACTACATCCATTTTATTCCATCTTCTCTGTAAAGCTTGATAATTTTCAACTGAATCTATAATACTGAGCTCAGATTTTTCCAGCGTGCCCTGCAAGAATATTTGCAGCCTAATGTCAGAAAGTAACACAGATGTAGCCTCACTGACTGTATAAACAGCTGGATGGTCATCAACATCTGCTGGATGATAAACATCTAGTTTGTGTGTAGTTGTGTGGCAACCAGCTGCATGGTGTGAACTGCGCTTTTTACTGGGTGTTTATTACAGACTGAGACCTTGCAGAACTGCTTAGTTTTAGAGAACATAGCTGGAAAACATCTCGAATCAATGCTTCTGCTTTTTGGGATAGTTTTTCTGAAGTAATTTGTTGTGTCTGTGTCTTTTAAATCCATTCTGTCTTCTCCCAGTCCCATTTATTCTTGTGTTTTTTTTCCTACCTGCCTTTCATGTAGCAGTAATTCTGGGCAGCCACATAAAATGACAATAATCTAATGTGGTTAAATGAAATCAAGTAGTATAACTAAAATTATTTTATAAATGATTAAGCTTTATTTTCTCTTTTTAATGGGACTAACTCTTTGATTTCCGCCTGTTTGTGGATCTCCGAGATCAAAGCTGACTGTTTAATGTATTAACTTTGCCTTCATCTATTTGTTTTCATGGATTACAGTTTGCATGTGTTGAACGTTTGCAGTGCTGGTTGGGAGTTTTCTGATGTAGACTCGTGAGCATAATGTCAAGTCACAAGCTGAAGCTGAAAAAAAAGCATTGATATTATCTGTTTCTCTTGGTTTCTGCTCTGACCTTCAGTCATCAGACAAAGAAAAACTCGACCAGCTTCAGGAGGAGCTTCTTCGAACTCAGGTCCACTTCTAAAAATTAAACTTGATTAAGAATAATACAAAGCTCTTGTGTTAGTGTTGCTGATATGATCATTTTTTTCCTCAGTTAAAGTATCAGCGCATGCTGGAAAGACTGGAAAAGGAAAACAAAGAGTTAAGGAAAGTGGTGCTGCAAAAAGATGATAAAGGTATTCATCAGAGGAAGGTGAAGGTGAGTTATTTATAGACACTATAATACTGATGACTTTTGAAGGTTTCCAATTCTTCTTGTTGGTTGGTTAATTTAATTAACCCTTGTTAAATTGTTACCTTGATTGATTTCTCCTGAATTGATTGTATTTGATATATATTTAGTGTTTATTTTTCTGTTTTCAGAAATCCCTGATTGACCTTTATTCTGAAGTCCTTGACATCCTGTCTGACTACGATGCCAACTACAATACCCAGGACCACCTACCCAGGGTAAGCCACACTGAGCTTAGACATGAATTTTAAATTATGAATATAAATAATATTGTATTTTTTTTTGTAAAACTGCCATCTTATTTCCTTAATTTTAGCATTTTAAGATTGATAAAACGTATATGTGCATGTGTCCTTCCTCCTCTCTTACCTTGTTTTGTTTTAATGTCAACATCTTCTGGGGTTCTCAGAGTATTTCAGCCCATTTAAAGTGATGCTGTAAATGGGCAGCAATGCTGAGTTTCAATCAGTTTAATGGCTTTAGAAACTGTGTTTTTTGAATTACATCTACCTCCTTATTCACATTTAGATGAGAAACCGTTCTGTTAGAGGACCATTGGTCACCACTATAAGAATGTTTTTCTTTTTCTTTTATTTAAGGTTGTGTTTGTTTAGGTGTGCATATCTAGGTCCAGTGTGTCCCATACCTTTAACTTGCCAATTGTCTGAATTTTTTTTGTTTGTTTCTATCATTAAATTTAGCATTGTTGCTACGCTGCTATGTAGCCACCTCACGACACCAGACCAGTTCAATGTAATATTTTGAATTAGGACGGATATGAACGGCTTCTCCTAATTCAGCAAAGATGCTTAGAAGAAGAATCGGAGGAGTAGAAAACCCAGTTTTCCTACTTTGGTTTTAACTACATTTACTTGTTATTTAACCCATTTAGGCCTAAAACGCCTGGAAAAAAACACCTTAAAAACCTATGGCCGATTTTAAAAAATACCCCTAAAACCTGAAGTTTCCTGTAAATTCAGCAACTGTGTCAACGCCTAGTAAATTATTGATATCTCAGCTTCTGTAGCAGATAGAACTCAAAATATATTTTATCTTTGAAATTCTTCACAAAAAAAAGTGAAAAGCAGTAATCAAAAAATAAAAAAATTCAACCTTTTATTTTTTCCATATGTGATCAAGTCTTCATTGAGAATGTGCAATATAAAACGTTTTTAAAATAAAGAACAAACATTACATAAATAACTATCTGATGATTACTTATTAACAGTATTATTATGCATAATAATGCATATGTCTGTTATAAATTGCATACAACTTACCTCCAGATGGCCACAAATCTGTCCCGGGACATATTTTGGGGGAACTGCGTCCTGAAGAGAGGTTTACTCTGTCGCCAATAATCTCTTCGTACTGGCAACACAAGAAGTCCAATGCCCATACACAGCCCAATAAATGTCTTCATCTCCGTCACAGTCACGGGTGACCACTTTGCCATCTTTGCTCTTGTTGGAGTTTGGTTTGTTTGGTCACTGTACCTATTCGTCTCGGTAACAAGATGCATCCAAAGTTCTTCATTAAAAATATGCTCAAATGCCTGCAGCGGTGTGGCGTCTGCAGGCAAATCAACTTTCACTCCAGGTGTGCGGTTGAAAACACTCCGTGCATTGCGGTGGTAGTTCGATTGGTTCAGCGCGTTCAAAGTCATCATTTTCATCTATACCGTCAGCAAAGCCGACACACTCCTCAAAATCACTGCCTTCCGACATCTCTTCTCTGTCAAACTCCTCCATGTTTGCTTGAAAAAAACTTCTTTCTTCTTGCTTGACTTATATGCTCTCCCGGCGTCAATGGTAGAATTACGCAACAGCGCCCCCGGCTTGAATGGTAGAAATGCGGTAATGCTTTCCCGGCCTAAATGGGTTAAAACACTCCTGTGTCTTTCTTTACCATTTTTTTTTTGGTTGCCTTTAGGTTTTTCTTTCTGTGTTAATTTCTCATACAGTAATTAATGCTCTACTGTTCCTTTTGTCCATCCTACCTCTGCTCTCCTTTAGGTGGTTGTGGTTGGAGACCAGAGTGCTGGGAAGACCAGTGTGCTCGAGATGATCGCCCAGGCCAGGATCTTTCCTAGGGGCTCGGGAGAGATGATGACACGCTCTCCTGTAAAGGTCAGTGGGGTAAAAGGGGCTGATTTTTATGTTTAAATTAAATTTTAATCTTTAGGATTACTTGTTTATTTTCCCTGCAGGTGACATTAAGCGAAGGCCCGCACCATGTTGCCATGTTTAAAGACAGCGGCCGAGAGTTTGACCTCACCAAAGAGGAGGACGTAAGTCAAATATTTGTATATTTGATTAAATAAAAGGAAACTTTATCCTGCTTTATTTTTAACTCAACATCTGTGTTTTTTTGTGGTTGTATGCAGCTGGCTGCTCTGAGGCACGAGATTGAGCTGAGGATGAGGAAGAGTGTGAAGGAAGGACAGACTGTGAGCTCTGAGGTTTGACAAATTTACAACTGGATAGTTAATAAAAAAAAATAACTTTTCTTATTTGTTTAGAAGATTTAATGAAGTAATTTTATTTCTCACACATTAGACTATCTCACTGAGTGTTAAAGGACCAGGCATTCAGAGGATGGTTCTGGTAGACTTACCTGGTGTCATAAGTGTAAGTATTTAAACCACCTCAGATCTATACTGATAAATAACTGGATGCCATTGAGCACGACCCACTGCAGAGTCTTGGCTAGAAGAATCCTTTACAGTTTGGACATTTCCGGCATATGATTTTTTAGAACTTTCATATGGTATTTTATTATTAGAAATAACCCAGGGCTGGATAGAGAGCCAACCTCGATATCATGTCTTGAGATATAGGAAAAATATAATGGAGAAATAATATATATATACACTCACCGGCCACTTTATTAGGTACCCCATGCTAGTAACGGGTTGGACCCCCTTTTGCCTTCAGAACTGCCTCAATTCTTTGTGGCATAGATTCAACAAGGTGCTAGAAGCATTCCTCAGGGAGTTTGGTCCATATTGACATGATGGCATCACACAGTTGCCCAAGATTTGTCAGCTGCACATCCATGATGCGAATCTGCCCACCTTGGTTGTAACGGGTGGTTATTTGAGTCACTGTTGCCCTTCTATCAGCTCGAACCAGTCTGGTCATTCTCCTCTGACCTCTGGCATCAACAAGGCATTTCCGCCCACAGAACTGCCGCTCACTGGATGTTTTTTCTTTTTCGGACCATTCTCTGTAAACCCTAGAGATGGTTGTGCGTGAAAATCCCAGTAGATCAGCAGTTTCTGAAATACTCAGACCAGCCCTTCTGGCACCAACAATCATGCCACATTCAAAGTCACTCAAATCACCTTTCTTCCCCATACTGATGCTCGGTTTGAACTGCAGGAGATTGTCTTGACCATGTCTACATGCCTAAATGCACTGAGTTGCCACCATGTGACTGGCTGCTTAGAAATTAAGTGTTAACGAGCAGTTGGACAGGTGTACCTAATATATATATAATATATACATATATATATATACCTAATTATATATATATATATATATATATATATATATATATATATATATATATATATATATATATATATATATACACTCACCGGTCACTTTATTAGGTACCCCATGCTAGTATAGGGTTGGACCCCCTTTTGCCTTCAGAACTGCCTCAATTCTTCGTGGCATAGATTCAACAAGGTGCTGGAAGCATTCCTCAGGGAGTTTGGTCCATATTGACATGATGGCATCACACAGTTGCCGCAGATTTGTTGGCTGCACATCCATGATGCGAATCTCCCGTTCCACCACATCCCAAAGATGCTCTATTGGATTGAGATCTGGTGACTGTGGAGGCCATTTGAGTACAGTGAACTCATTGTCATGTTCAAGAAACCAGTCTGAGAGGATTCCAGCTTTATGACATGGCGCATTATCCTGCTGAAAGTAGCCATCAGAAGTTGGGTACATTGTGGTCATAAAGGGATGGACATGGTCAGCAACAATACTCAGGTAGGCTGTGGCGTTGCAACGATGCTCAATTGGTACCAAGGGGCCCAAAGAGTGCCAAGAAAATATTCCCCACACCATGACACCACCACCACCAGCCTGAACCGTTGATACAAGGCAGGATGGATCCATGCTTTCATGTTGTAGACGCCAAATTCTGACCCTACCATCCGAATGTCGCAGCAGAAATCGAGACTCATCAGACCAGGCAACGTTTTTCCGATCTTCTATTGTCCAATTACGATGAGCTTGTGCAAATTGTAGCCTCAGTTTCCTGTTCTTAGCTGAAAGGAGTGGCACCCGGTGTGGTCTTCTGCTGCTGTAGCCCATCTGCCTCAAAGTTCGAAGTAGTGTGCGTTTAGAGATGCTCTTCTGCCCACCTTGGTTGTAACGGGTGGTTATTTGAGTCACTGTTGCCCTTCTATCAGCTCGAACCAGTCTGGCCATTCTCCTCTGACCTTTGGCATCAAAAAGGCATTTCCGCCCACAGAACTGCCGCTCACTGGATGTTTTTTCTTTTTCGGACCATTCTCTGTAAACCCTAGAGATGGTTGTGCGTGAAAATCCCAGTAGATCAGCAGTTTCTGAAATACTCAGACCAGCCCTTCTGGCACCAACAATCATGCCACGTTCAAAGTCACTCAAATCACCTTTCTTCCCCATACTGATGCTCGGTTTGAACTGCAGGAGATTGTCTTGACCATGTCTACATGCCTAAATGCACTGAGTTGCCACCATGTGATTGGCTGCTTAGAAATTAAGTGTTAACGAGCAGTTGGAGAGGTGTACCTAATAAAGTGGCCGGTGAGTGTATATGTGTGTGTATGTATGTTTATATGTATATGTATGCAACCAGATTTATCCGTTTTTTGATAAAAACAAAGTCTGATAAAATCCTGAACTGTGAAGGAACCCTGATGTTAAACATGCAGGTTATTTTCCTTCAATAACCATTGGATGGTTTCAATGGAACTATATTAAACCCCTTTTTGGACATTAGCCTTTAAAAACATCCCCCAACTGGAACTAAACTGTTTTCCAGACGGTGACTACGGGCATGGCATCAGACACTAAGGAAACCATCTTCAGCATGAGCAAGGCCTACATGCAAAACCCCAATGCCATCATTCTTTGTATTCAGGGTGAGTCACGTTAATCCCCTCCCTATGATCAAATGTGAGAGAAAAGATTATAGCAAAAAGGGATGTTATTATTTTAACAGTCTTTTTCAGACCCATGGGTGGTTCATATTTTTTCTTTTATTTTTTTCTTGATCCAGATGGTAGTGTGGATGCAGAGCGCAGCATCGTCACAGACCTCGTCAGCCATATGGACCCTCACGGGAAAAGGACCATCTTTGTTCTCACTAAAGTGGACTTGGCTGAGAAGAACCTGGCCAGTCCCAGCAGGGTAAGATGACTGAACAGTTTCAACAGAAATTATTGCTTCATGTTTCAATTTCTAATGCTTTTACTTTTTCCTATCTTCCTGTGATGAACATCCTTTAATAGACTTTTTAAATCCAAAGATTAAAGAACCCGACTATTCAATAAAAAAATACAAATAGAAATCAAATATTGTAGTAACTCATTGGCTTTTTTCTCCTTAGCAATTCCTGTGTTACATCAATAAATACAAGTAATACAGGAATAAAAACTTCCCGAAGAGTTACTTTTTCTCATAAATTTGCTGCATTTTCACTTTTTGAAAGCATCAAGTTATATCCATTTCCTCCACCAGGTGGGGCTCTCTCCCTTTCAACGCACCATTAACTTTATGTCTGCTTGTCTAATAGCATCTGACACCTCTTCTCTGTAGGACCTGCATTAACAGCAGCTGTCAACCACCCAGATTCTGAACATTACTAACCAGTTACTCTCTAGCAAGAGCTGCAAGTCGGAATATGTTGTGACTCGGATCAAATATGCGGTCTCTAATGCACCACTTTAGAATATTAAAGTTGGGATTTTTTCCCCAATATATCCGTCCTACAAATAATCGCTGAAGCCATAATCATCTTTTTTTACTACACCTACAGTGAGGTGATGAAAATAATTATTTGAACACCCTGCTATTTTGCAAGTTCTCCAGCTTAGAAATCACGGAGGGGTCTGAATTTGCCATGATAGGTACATGTCCAGTGTAAGAGACATAATCAATGTTAATATTATGTACAGCAGCCTTTCTTTGCAATTCCAGAGGTCTAACGTTTCCTGTAGTTTTTCTCCAGGTGTGCACACACTGCAGGAGGTGTTTTGGCCCACTCCTCCACACAGATGTTCTCTGTCTGGGCTGTTGCTGAGAAACAGAGTTTGAGCTCCCTCTAAAGATTCTCTAATGGCTTTAGGTCTGGAGACTGGCTAGGCCTTGCCAGAACCCTGATATGCATCTTCCAGTGCCACTCATTGGTTATCCTGGCTCTGTGCTTTGGGTCATTGTCATGTTGGAAGACCCAGCCTTGACCCATCTTCAGTGCTCTAACTGAGAGAAGGAGGTTGTTCCCCAAAATCTTGCAATACATGCCCCTGGTCATCCTCTCCTTAATACAGTGCAGTTGCCCTGTCCGATGTGCAGAATAACAGTCCCAAAGCATGATGTTATCACCTCCATGCTTCACAGTAGGGATGGTTAGTGAATTATGATCAAAAAGTTATATTTTAGTGTCATCTCACCACATGACTTTCACCCATGACTCCTCTGGATCATCCAAATGGTCATTGGCAAACTTAAGACAGACCTTGACATGTGCTGGTTTTAGCAGGGGAACCTTCTGTGCCATGCTTGATTTCAAACCATGACGTCTTATTGTATTACCAACAGTAACCTTGGAAACGGTGGTCCCAGGTCTTTTTCAGGTCATTCAGCTCCTCCCATGTAGTTCTGGGCTGATTTCTCACGTTTCTTATGATCATTGAGACCCCATGAGATGAGATCTTGCATGGAGCCCCAGTCCAAAGGAGATTGACAGTTGTGTTTAGCTTCTTACATTTTCTAAAGATTGCTCCAACAGTGGACCTTTTTTTCACCAAGCTGCTTAGCAATTTCCCTGTAGCCCTTTCCAGCTTTGTGGAGGTGTATTATTTTGTCTCTAGCATCTTTGGACAGCTCTTTGGTCTTGGCTATGTTAGTAGTTGGATTTTTACTGATTATATGGGTGGACAGGTGTCTTTATGCAGCTAACGACCTCAAACAGGTGCATCTAATTTAGGATAATTAATGGAGTGAAGGTGGACATTTTGAAGGCAGACTAACAGGTCTTTCAGGGTCAGAAATCTAGCTGATAGACAGGTTCAAATACTTATTTGGAGTTGTATCATACAAATAAATAGTTAAAAATCCTATATTGTGATTTCTGGATTTAGATTCATCTCTCACACTGGACATTCACCTACAATGACAATTTCAGATGCCTCCATGATTTCTAAGTGGGAGAACTTGCAAAATAGCAGGGTGCCCAAATACTTATTTTCCTCATGGTATTAGTGGTCATAATGTAATGAAAAATTTTACTTCATCTATAGATAATCTGAAGGCTGAAACCTGACTCAATCTGTTCCTTTAATTAATTTTAATTATTATTATTCTCTTTTAGATTCAGCAAATCGTTGAAGGAAAGCTCTTTCCCATGAAAGCTCTCGGTTATTTTGCTGTAGTAACAGGAAAAGGTAAAATATGACTCAGTTATTCAGCTTGCTGTATTTATTCCCTGTTATTTTAGGTTTGTTTATAATTTAACTACCTGTTCATGTCCATTTTTAAAGGGAGCACCGGTGAAAGCATTGATGCAATTAAAGACTACGAAGAGGACTTCTTCCAGAACTCCAGATTGCTAAGGCAGGTTAAACTATAGTTATCAAACTTCTACAACCTTTAAATGGGATAACTTAAAACAAGGTTGTTTGTTTTGTTTTTTCTGTGCCCAAAGGGATGGGATGCTGAAAGCTCATCAGGTCACCACTAAGAACTTGAGTCTGGCTGTCTCTGACTGCTTCTGGAAGATGGTCAGGGAGTCTGTAGAGCAGCAGGCAGATGTTTTCAAAGGTATGATCAGCCTGAACACAGCTGAGGTAGTGTTAAACTTGACCACCTTTCAGGCTTTTACACAATATTTACAGGCTTTTATCCAGTGATTATACAGGTGCTGGTCATAAAATTAGAATATCATGAAAAAGTAGATTGATTTCAGTAATTCCATTTAAAAAGTGAAACTTGTATATTATATTCATACATTACATACAAACTCATATATTTCAGATGTTTATTTTGTTTAATTTTGATGATTACAAATGACAACAAATGAAAATCTCAAATTCATCATATCAGAAAATTAGAATATTACTGAAGACCAATAAAAACAAAGGATTTATAGAAATGTTGGCCAACTGAAAAGTATGAACATGAAAAGTATGAGCATGTACGGCACTCAGTATTTAGTTGGGCCTCCTTTGGCCTGTATTACTGCAGCAATGCGGCGTGGCATGGAGTCGATCAGTCTGTGGCACTGCTCAGGTGTTATGATAGCCCAGGTTGCTCTAATAGTGGCTTTTAGCTCTTCTGAATTGTTGGGTCTGGTGTATTGCATCTTCTTCTTCACAATACCCCATAGATTTTCTATGGGGTTAAGGTCAGGAGAGTTTGCTGGCCAATTAAGAACAGGGATACCATGGTCCTTCAACCAGGTACTGGTAGCTTTGGCACTGTGTGCAGGTGCCAAGTCCTGTTGGAAAATGAAATCTGCATCTCCAAAAAGTTGGTCAGCTGCAGGAAGCATGAAGTGCTCTAAAACTTCCTGGTATGTGGCTGCGTTGACCCTGGACCTCAGAAAACACAATGGACCAACACCAGCAGATGACATGGCACCCCAAACCATCACTGACTGTGGAAACTTTACACTGGACTTCAAGCAACGTGGATGAAGTGCCTCTCTTCTTTTCCTCCAGACTCTGGGACCTTGATTTCCAAAGGAAATGCAAAATTTACTTTCATCAGAGAACATGACTTTGGACCACTCACCAGCAGTCCAGTCCTGTTTCTCTTTAGCCCAGGCAAGACGCTTCTGACGCTGTCTGTGGTTCAAGAGTGGCTTGACACAAGGAATGCGACAGCAGAAACCCATGTCTTTCATACGTCTGTGTGTGGTGGTTCTTGAAGCACTCACTCCAGCTGCAGTCCACTCTTTGTGAATCTCCCCCACATTTTTTAATGGGTTTTGTTTCACAATCCTCTCCAGGGTGCGGTTATCTCTCTTGCTTGTACACTTTTTTCGACCACATCTTTTCCTTCCCTTCGCCTCTCTATTAATGTGCTTGGACACTGAGCTCTGTGAACCGCCAGCCTCTTTAGCGATGACCTTTTGTGTCTTGCCCTCCTTGTGCAAGGTGTCGATGGTCGTCTTTTGGACAACTGTCAAGTCAGCAGTCTTCCCCATGATTGTGTAGCCTATAGAACTAGACTGAAAGACCATTTAAAGGCTTTTGCAGGTGGTTTGAGTTAATTAGCTGATTAGAGTGTGGCACCAGGGGCCATCAATTTTGAACCTTTTCACAATATTCTAATTTTCTGATATGATGAATTTGAGATTTTCATTTGTTGTCATTTGTAATCATCAAAATTAAACAAAATAAACATCTGAAATATATGAGTTTGTATGTAATGTATGAATATAATATACAAGTTTCACTTTTTAAATGGAATTACTGAAATCAATCTACTTTTTCATGATATTCTAATTTTATGACCAGCACCTGTAAAGGACCCAGACAATACCAGCTGTTCACCCTGAACGTTTTCTGTCTCCTTGGCCTTTCTCAGCTCACCCTGACACACTCCCCCTGTCCCTCCCTTCTACCGTCCTCAATTAGTCTAGACAATCTCAAGCCATTGCTAAAAGCAGAGGAGATTTATAGCTCTGAGACTGCAGTTCCCATAGACCCATTGTGTTGCGTATCGATCCATATCCCATCAAATCATGCAAGGCCAGCTTTCATCTTCTATTGTTGGCGCCACAAAGCTGCAATTAGAGTAAACGGCTGTGTGTTTAGGGAGCTGAGGGATGAAGCTTTCTTGGCTTGTGTGTGTTTCTCTTTTTGTGCATATGTTAGAGCTAAAACTCTGACTTTTGATATAGAGCAGGCTGCTGGCCCCATCGCTTCACCTCCTAAGGGACCAGTTAGCAGAGAGTGTGCAAGGTGTCCTCAGCTCCTCTTATTAAAGGATGGATACCATTAGCAACATGCAAGGGTCTTTTTTTATGTCATACAATGTGAAAATAAAACAAGCTCTGAGGTTTGGTGGTTATTGCCTGTTGATGGAGGAAATCTACTGTTGGATACAGTGGAGCACTGTTAAGTTAGTTTTAGGGTCCAAAATTTGCACAATTGAAGTCTGTTATATAATTAGTTATTGTTTATTTTAATAAGGATTGTTCAAATCAGATATTGTTAATAAACGTCCCTTTTTTTTCCCAGCATCACGGTTCAACCTGGAGACTGAATGGAAAAACAATTATCCTCGTCTGAGAGAACTGGACAGAGTAATACAAACACACACCATCTATGATGTTCTTTTATGTAGAAGCTACTTTAGAAAGAACACATTTAATAACCAATATTTTTACAAAGTAAAAAGCACAAATTGCCTCCTAAAATGGCTTGTCTTTTTGCAGAACGAACTCTTTGAAAAAGCAAAAAATGAAATTTTGGATGAAGTCATTAGTTTGAGTCAAGTCACCCCCCAGCACTGGTAAGTTTGTGGTAAAGCTGTATTACTTATTAATGTAATCGGTCAATCAATCTGTTCCACAGAGAGTAATTATTACAGAACTTCAATTAGAAAAGTAATATGCACCATTTTGATGGTTACCTACTTGAACTTTAAAATGCTACCAGAGCAAAATTCAGTTTAAGATTGGATACTTTTTTCTAATAACGTACAAAACAGTTTTAGTACTAAACGGTAAAGGTTATTTAGCTGCATCCAAGGATTTTATAGAACGTTGAGGGGAAAGAAAAATTGAGTTTGGGAAACAAAACCTCTTTTGGAAAAAAGGGATCTGCAGCATTGAGTTGATTGTTAAGAAAATCCTATTCTAGAGTTTGAGGAATATTCCCAAAGAGTGAATTGCAGCTGGAGTCACTGCGCTGACAGTCAGCACACACAGACATATCCAGGATATGGGCTACAACAGTCTCATTACCTGTTAGGCCACGCCTGAACCCTTGATGGAGTCTGAAAAAAATGCTGGAATGTTGCTCAGTGGTCAAAATGCCAAATTTTTTAGTGAAAGACAATTTTATTTCAGTCATCTTCCCAGAGTCTTAGGGAGAGGGAAGGAGCACAGAGTCCAAGTTACTTTAGGTCCAGTTTACATGTCTGTGATCATTTTGGTGCCATGTCTCCCATAAAGAATAGGTGTAGTACTTTTAAGACAGGGTCGACTGATACCAGAGCAAACAAAACAACCCAGCTGAAGGCTGCTGTTAATTTTATATATTTATATATAATTTTGTTTTTGTTTTTCTGTTTAACTCTTCATAACATTGTAGCAGATCTCATGTTTGTTTTTTCTTTAATAAAACACACTGCTGGTCGATTATCTTGGTTTATACTTTCCATATGAGTATAGCTCATCTCATCTGCAGTGAGGAAAAGCTTGCTTTAATGAGATGTATGCATTGTGTTATGGCCATCCCCTGTGTGCGTGCTTCCAGTTTTCTTCAATCGATATTCTGATGAACGGCCCGTGGACAGGAGCAGGGGTGGCCCTGTTAGCCAGCCAGCACAATTGAAGATAGCATTTATTGACAGAGAGGAGAGCCAGCTGGAACAAAGGGGGCACTGCATGAAATATGAGCAAGTGTTTATGATTAATGAGAAAAGGGACAACAGTAAGAGGAGGACTCAGGGGGATTTTCAGTTTTGTCTCTGAGTAGCCATAAAGGAAAGTGGGGTGGGGGTAGCTTTAAAATGTTACCAGAGCTACTATAGAGCTGCAGTGGAATTTACCGTCAAGAGCATCTTCTGTCAATCCAATTACTAAAGCGAAAGCTTCTCTGTTGTGGGCAAACTCTGTGGCCAGCAGATTTCTGCCCCAGTGGATCATGTCACTGAGCTGCATAAAAACTTGGAGACTTTGAACAACACATTTCTGTCGGATCAATGCTAATAAACGGAACTAAAACAGGACAGTACAGATCTTAAAAAATTTTGACATGGATTTTAGCAGAAAACTAAGAGCAACTACAGACTGTATTACAAAAACAGAGCTTATTTGGCTGAGTAGTGAGGTTTTAACATGTTGATCCTCCTCACAGGGAGTCTATTCTGCAGAAGAAGCTCTGGGAACGTGTTTCCACTCATGTCATTGAGAACATCTACCTGCCTGCTGCCCAAACGATAGACTCTGGGACCTTTAACACAACAGTAGACATTAAGCTCAAACAGTGGACTGACAAGCAGCTTCCACACAAGGCATTGGAGGTAAATATTAAAAAAAAATCTGCATAATGTCAAAATCTCCTGGCAGCCTTACTGCTGGTTGATCGGTTTAGCACTTTCTCTTCAAGTATCAGACCTTGCAGGAAGCATCAAGAGCAATGCTTGCCTCATTTCAATCTCAGACCTTTCCTGCTCTTCTATACCTCTAATCTACCCCCTTTCAGGTTGCCTGGGAGACATTGCAGGAGGAGTTTGCCCGCTTTATGGCTGAATACAAAGGCAAAGACCAGGATGACATCTTTGACAAGCTGAAGGAGGCAGTGAAGGACGAGGGCATCAAGCGGCACAAGTGGAATGAGAGAGCCTTGGACAGCCTGGTAAACACAGAAAGTCAACTTGTCCAACGTGCAAAAATGTTAAGAGCTTCCTTTACTTCTTCATGCAACATTTCAGGCTTTCTGCCTCTATAAAAGAAAGGTGGTCTTAACATCTTGTATGTCCATTCTAACAAAGACCACATGTAGCATTGGGTTTATAGTTAAACTGCATGAATTTTCATCATATCCTCTCATGTATTTCTATGCCAGAGGGTGATCCAACACAATGCCTTGGAAGACCGGTCCATCACAGATAAACCTCAGTGGGACGCCGCAATCCAGTTCATGGAGGAAACGCTGCAGTCCCGCCTCAAAGACAGTATGTTGGCCATAACTGCCTTCTTTCAGTTGCAGTCTATTGAGGATCTGTAGATAAGAACTATTTTACACTTCATATGATTGGAAAAAGACCTTAACCTGGTTCTACAGTTGCTGTTTTAGACATGCAGAAAAAGTTATTGTCTACATACTTTCATGTCACAAAACTCATATATTTTTAACTTCAATATGTTTTTTTTCATTCATAAATTCAGTTTATAGAAATTAGTTAATTTGCTATATCAGAATATTATTTTCTTTTTTATTCCCTAAAGTTTGCACTATTAAAAAAACGTTTTTTTTTTGCATGGTATTCTAGTCATGTCAACCTCATCACTGGACAACTAAAAAGTCAGAAACACTCCTTCAGGTGATAAACAGAGGTTTTAATGCTAAGACTATATATTTATCGGGCCAAAATAGCTCTTAAACTTAGTCAGCTTTTCGACACCTCGAAACATAAAAAAAACAACATTAAAAGACATTCGATGAGTCTAAATATGTCTTTTTAAAATGAATAACCTTTCTGACTGAAATGCTTAATTAAGAGAAACATTGTATTTACTGATAACATGTCAAACTGTTAAATTATTCATTAAGTAAAGCAGCAATTTTTTAGTTTATGAATAATTTAAAGTGGGAGAGGAAGCATCATCACACTTCCCTTTGTAATAACTTTCACAAGTGAAGAGTTTTTTTTATACTTCCTTAACTGTGGTGCATTCACTGACTGGAAAAAGTATCTTTGAGTTTCTCGGTCACCTTTTCTTGTCAAATAATCTTCAGAACTAATCCATGAGGTCGACTAATACCTAAACAAACTGATTCATCGCACAGATGTGTATAGTTCTGTTTTATTCAGTTCTCTTTTTTCTTCCTCCTGAAGCTGAATCTGTGATAAGAGACATGGTGGGCCCTGACTGGAAGACAAGGTGGTTCAATTGGACGAACCGGACACCAGAACAGGTCAGAACCACAGACGGAACCATCTGTTGATACACAGAGATGTGATACTAGAGAGGCAAAACAGTTATAAAGATGCTATAAACGTTACATATCTGTTAAATCCTCAGAAGCTGTTTATTAATTTCTTTCACCCTTACCGAGTTTCTTTGTCGTGAAACCAACCCTGGTCTTACAGCATGTTCGAAATGAAACCAAGAATGAGCTGGACCGCTTGCTAAAGCTGCATGATGATCACACCGCCTACCTGGCCAATGACGAGGTCACCACTGTGAGGAAGAACCTGGAGGGACGGGGGGTAGAAGTCGACCCGGTGCTGGTAAGATAAAATGATTTTATATCTTATTTAGTCCAGCACATTTATTAAGCTTCTGAAATGTTTCCTGCCCATCTAGATCAAAGACACATGGCATCAGCTTTATCGCAGACACTTCTTGCAGAAAGCACTGAGCCACTGCAACCTCTGCAAGAGAGGTTTCTATTACTACCAGAGACACTTTGTTGACTCTGAGGTCAGTAGAGATCCTTTATTTAATTGCCTTGTTTTTCTGCTGGCTAACATATGTGTATAATCTGCCTGTTTTTATCCATTTCCACCTTAGCTGGAGTGCAATGATGTGGTGTTGTTTTGGAGGATCCAGAGGATGCTGGTCATCACGGCTAACACGCTCCGACAGCAGCTCACTAACACTGAGGGTGAGGACTGGAACAAGGCTGCTTATAAACAGCCTAAACAGGGAAAAGTTAAAAAGGACAAAGGACCAGATGTGCAGCTATTGTCAATATGAGAAACTGGTTTCTTGTATTTTTACTGCCATGTGTTGTAGAAAGCAGTTTGTCCAGAGGAGCTTTTTTTTATGGGAAGAGAATTTTATATTCATTATAAAATAGTAGTTTCATACACTTTCCTTTGGTTGTTTGCAGTCCGGCGGTTGGAGAAGAATGTCAAAGAGGTCTTGGATGACTTTGGGGAAGACATGGAGAAAAAGACTCAACTCATCACTGGCCGCAGAGTCCAGCTGGCTGAGGATCTCAGTAAGACAAAAAAAAAAAACACAGCAGACACTACTGTTTACCTCAGATTTTATATTAGCAGCACAAACTTAACATTTGTGTGATTTGCTTTTAATATATTCAAGTTGAGGGTCTCTGCTGCCTCTGTATTCATGAAGAGTCCCGCAGCTTTTAGCTCCATCTAAGTTCCTGTACACCCGATACCCAAGGAAAATGCTCCATAAGAAGCTTCTGTAGATCTATAACCAGCCGAGGATGTTATTTAGCCAAATGATTTGGGTGTATTGGATCATGTTGGCATTTTAAAGCAGCAGGAAGTGGATTCCAGAGGACCAGTTAAATGAAGTGCTGCCAAAGGTCAGTAGGTGGCAGTGGTGTTACAGGAGTCAATGTTAACTATCACTGGGTTAGATTAGTGAGGGTTGACAGCTGTTGTCAGAACTGCTTTTGAAAAGGGTTTTGCTCTCTCAGGTACTTGATTCAATAAACCACAATCACCTCATATTAGAACCATCATTTTAAAACAAAAAAACCAGTAGATGTATGTAGAAGCTCTTCTCTCAGGCTTCAGTTTTATCCTTCAAGCATGTCTTTGCTGGGCTTGCTTATAAATTGTCATGGTGATTGATTCTTTATAGTTTAATAACTGCGTGTTGTAAGAACTATTTACTTATATCTTAAGCAGTACTGGGAAAGTAACTTAAAAAAATAACTAGTCAGTTACTAGTTACTAGTCCAAAAGTTACTAACCTCGTTAACTGCCCTGTGAAAGTAATTTGTTACTAGCCAAAGTAACTAAAGTTATTTTTTTATGTTTTAAAATGTCAATGTGGAAAAACTTTTTTGTTCCTGGAATTTCAATAGAAATAGAGCTTAAATTATGGAATATAAGGTGCTTGTTATTAATTAATAATTAATTTAAAAGTCTACATGTCTGAAAACATTGAAAACTAATCTGCATTACTTAGATTGTGTGAGCTGAAATATAATGTGGATGTGATCATGTTTCTTGTTTAGAAAAAAACTGTTTTAAAACTTTATATTTTTGCACTTTGACAGCCTTCAGTTGGCCACAAAACAGATATGAAGCTGAGGAATAATGCCTTTCTAGCAATTTAACAAAATCAAAATGTACTTGGCATAAGATTTAAACAGGATTACACTGTTCTATATAAAAAAAAAAAACTAGGAGGACTGTATGAGCCCAGGATTTTGTATGAAAAAACATAAACCATGAAAAGTAAAAAAATTTTAGCCCTGCTTCTTTAAATTACAGTTTTTAACTGATGTTGATATGGTCTTTGTTCTCGCTAATAATTAGCATATCCCCAAATGTTTAGCCTTCATTGAGAATTTTTCCTGTAGGAACGCTTTCATAGAATCAGAGGCTCTGCGCCGTCGTCTCTGTGTTAATGCTGAAGTTGCACATAGCTGTTGCATGCATCACGTACGCTTACACCATCAAACTGTAGTCCTCATCTATAAGCGTTGGGTAATAAATAACGAATCTGTTTAAAGCATAGCGACGACATACCTGTTACTGTCTTTTACAAAGTAATTAGTTACAGGGATAGTTATTATAAAAGTAAGGTAGTTAAAGTAACACATTACTTAATTAATTAGTCCCAGCACTGATCTTTAGAGTACTGCTGATATTACCCGATGTTAAAATCACCTCCTTGTTTTATCAAAGATGTTAGTTAATATGAGGTTTTTTTAGGTAAAGCAACTTTACTCAGGATGAATGTTAGAATAGAAATATCACATTTATTCCCTCCTTTATCAGTCTGTCTGTATGATGATAGGAATGAGTGACTGTTTTTAGGTTCCACTTTTGAAGTTTTCTTGTGAACCAAATTTTCAGCCTAATCCGTCTTATTATTCAATTCTCTATTCCTCCTGCTGACCAGTAGTGAAGGTGCTCCTAAAACATCACTGGATTGCTTTAATGCAATATTCCACACAAACCTTTTCAGCTACAGTTTTGTGTTCATTCAAGCTGAACTGGTCACTTCGCTTCATCACAACTTGTCCTAAAAAACAATTTGATCAATTAGAAACTGAAAGGTGAGGTTTTAGCAGACGGGTAATTACACACGATATTCTGTGGGTTCATGAGGGTACCTCCTATCTCGTTAAACTACCTGCCTGGTGCTTTAAAATAAACATTTTCCTGTCCTCTTTAGGCGTACATATATTTATGTTTAGTGGATAGAAGGCTGGTGGGGAGAATACAGGTGCTGGTCATAAAATTAGAATATCATGAAAAAGTAGATTGATTTCAGTAATTCCATTTAAAAAGTGAAACTTGTATATTATATTCATACATTACATACAAACTCATATATTTCAGATGTTTATTTTGTTTAATTTTGATGATTACAAATGACAACAAATGAAAATCTCAAATTCATCATTTCAGAAAATTAGAATATTACTGAAGACCAATAAAAACAAAGGATTTATAGAAATGTTGGCCAACTGAAAAGTATGAACATGAAAAGTATGAGCATGTACAGCACTCAGTATTTAGTTGGGCCTCCTTTGGCCTGTATTACTGCAGCAATGCGGCGTGGCATGGAGTCGATCAGTCTGTGGCACTGCTCAGGTGTTATGATAGCCCAGGTTGCTCTAATAGTGGCTTTTAGCTCTTCTGAATTGTTGGGTCTGGTGTATTGCATCTTCTTCTTCACAATACCCCATAGATTTTCTATGGGGTTAAGGTCAGGAGAGTTTGCTGGCCAATTAAGAACAGGGATACCATGGTCCTTCAACCAGGTACTGGTAGCTTTGGCACTGTGTGCAGGTGCCAAGTCCTGTTGGAAAATGAAATCTGCATCTCCAAAAAGTTGGTCAGCTGCAGGAAGCATGAAGTGCTCTAAAACTTCCTGGTATGTGGCTGCGTTGACCCTGGACCTCAGAAAACACAATGGACCAACACCAGCAGATGACATGGCACCCCAAACCATCACTGACTGTGGAAACTTTACACTGGACTTCAAGCAACGTGGATGAAGTGCCTCTCTTCTTTTCCTCCAGACTCTGGGACCTTGATTTCCAAAGGAAATGCAAAATTTACTTTCATCAGAGAACATGACTTTGGACCACTCACCAGCAGTCCAGTCCTGTTTCTCTTTAGCCCAGGCAAGACGCTTCTGACGCTGTCTGTGGTTCAAGAGTGGCTTGACACAAGGAATGCGACAGCAGAAACCCATGTCTTTCATACGTCTGTGTGTGGTGGTTCTTGAAGCACTCACTCCAGCTGCAGTCCACTCTTTGTGAATCTCCCCCACATTTTTGAATGGGTTTTGTTTCACAATCCTCTCCAGGGTGCGGTTATCTCTCTTGCTTGTACACTTTTTTCGACCACATCTTTTCCTTCCCTTCGCCTCTCTATTAATGTGCTTGGACACTGAGCTCTGTGAACCGCCAGCCTCTTTAGCGATGACCTTTTGTGTCTTGCCCTCCTTGTGCAAGGTGTCGATGGTCGTCTTTTGGACAACTGTCAAGTCAGCAGTCTTCCCCATGATTGTGTAGCCTATAGAACTAGACTGAAAGACCATTTAAAGGCTTTTGCAGGTGGTTTGAGTTAATTAGCTGATTAGAGTGTGGCACCAGGGGCCATCAATTTTGAACCTTTTCACAATATTCTAATTTTCTGATATGATGAATTTGAGATTTTCATTTGTTGTCATTTGTAATCATCAAAATTAAACAAAATAAACATCTGAAATATATGAGTTTGTATGTAATGTATGAATATAATATACAAGTTTCACTTTTTAAATGGAATTACTGAAATCAATCTACTTTTTCATGATATTCTAATTTTATGACCAGCACCTGTACACAACCAGTAGAAACCAACAGCGCCTGTTATGCGACTACGGCCACCAGTTATTTCAGCGAACTGAATCATTCTACTTTTATTAACTTCTTTAACATGGCATCACATTTTCAATTTTAGGATTCCTGCTGTCACGAGGAAACTCTTAACTGATATAATTTCTATCTAGATTAATTGAATATGTTAAAACTCAAACTCAAAAATAATATTAGGCTGACAAAACATACTTGGATTAAACCAACAGGTTTAAGTTTCTTTTTTTGTCAGTCATAATGACACAACATCATTACATTGTCTTTAAAATACAAACAATCATCACATAATACAAGATACTTAGATTGATCTACAGGTGGCAGATTTCTTTATTTTGGTGAGTCAAGAGGGGGAGGGACATCCTGTCTATCATCTCATTATAAGGACTTCAAACTTGTCTGTCTATCTGATCTTTCTCTAATATTGGGGTTAAACGGTATGATTAGAGGATGTTGGGCTTACCACCACGTTTATACACAGTTCAAATACTCAAAGACTGAAATACTTGATAACTAATTAATATTAGATCTTCAGACAGGAGTTTTCATTGACCCTGATTTGCAGGGAAAGTCGGAGTCTGATTCTTGACTTGAGTGGGTGCCGCCCATATGCAGTAGAATAAGGCATGTAGCTCCTGAAAAACAGCAGAGCTTAAATCGACATCTTCTTTTCATAGTTTTGTTTTATTTGTTCCTTTGGTTTGAATTGGGTAGATGGGAGAACAAGCTCACACGGTCTGAGTCCATACCACAGTGTGTGGAAAACAGCCTAAACCTGCCTTGCCTTGTCAGCCCTAAAAGGCAAATCAATCCCAAACTTTTCCAATCAACAGGCACAGCTTTCCCACTTCCCTCTGCCTCTCTGAGGAATGAGGTTTGAACCTGTTAAATAAAACAATAATGTTAAAACAGCTGAGCAAGAACGGTCTGCTCTGTGTTTCACTACCGTGTTAATACCTTTTGCAATTTTTGTAATGAGAATAAATTAGGATTTCTTTCAGGTGGAACAACAAAACATATTAGGACCGAAATTATAGATGCAGTTATTTTTTGATTATTAAAACAATTTCCATGTAATTAAGTCGTTGAACATTCGTTTACCAAACTATACAGATTCTAAAGTGTAAACTCATCTGAAAAAC